AGCAAAGGAATTCCAGAAAAACATCTACTTCTACTTCATTGACTACACTAAAGCCTTTGACTGTGTGAATCACAATAAACTGTGAAAAACTCTTAAAGAGATGGAAATACCAGACCACCTTACCTGCCTCCTGAGAAACCTGTATGCAGATCAAGAAGCAACAGTTAGAACCAAACATAGAACAGTGGACTAGTTCAAAAGTGGGAAAGGAGTATGTCAAGGATGTATACTACCATCCTGTTTATTTAACTTCTGTGCAGAGTACATCACGTGAAATGTTGGGCTGGATGAATCACAAGCTGGAATCAAGATTTCTGGGAGAAATATCAACAACCTCAGATGAGACTATCCTAATGTCAGAAAGCAAAGAGGAACAAAGAGCCTCTTGAGAGTGAAAGAGGAGGTTGAAAAGGCTGGCTTAAAACTCAACATTCAAAAAACTGAGATCACGGCATCTGGTCCCATCACTTCATGGCAAATAGATGGGGAAACAATGGAAACAGTGACAGACTTAATTTTCTTGAGCTTCAAAATCACTGCAGATGGTGACTGCAGCCAGGAAATTAAAAGACATTTGCTCCTTGGAAGAAAAGCTATGACCAACCTAGACAGCACATTAAAAATCAGAGACATTACTTTGCCAACAAAGATCCATCTAATCAAAGCTATGGTTTTTCCAGTAGTCATATATGGATGTGAGAGTTGGACCAAAAAGAAAGCTGAGTGCCAAAGAATTGATGCTTTTGAACTGTGGCATTGGAGAAGACTATTAGAGTCTCTTAGACAGCAAGGAGACCAATTTGCTAAAGGAAATCAACACTGAATAGTCATTGGAAGGACTGATGCTACAGCTGAAGCTCTAATAAGTTGGCTACCTGATGGGAAGAGCCGACTAATTGGAAAAGATCCTGATGCTGGGGAAAGACTGAGGGCAGGAGGAGAAGGGGGTGACAGAGGATGAGATGGTTGGATGGGATCATCAAAACAATGGGTGTGGGTTTGAGCAAACTCCAGGAGTTGGTGATGGACAGGGAAGACTGGCGTGCTGCAGTCCATGGGGTTGCAAAGAGTTGTACATGACTGAGCATCTGAACAACCACCCCCAGTTATTCTTCATTCTGAAACTTTGGGCAATTTCACAACCTTAATCTTCCTAATAAATTCTGGAATAATGTTCAACAATTCTTCAATTACAATTGTATTAAATTGACAGATTAATTTCATGAGTCATGGGTATTTTGAAATCAGATCAACTATTGAATAAAATTAGGAATTTTATAGTCAAAATGATTTAAGACATTAATACGGACTAATTGCTTTTGGAAATGCAGCAATGAGGTTGGTTTCCCATGCTATTCAAACAAGGTACCAACCCAGTTTCTGCATGTTATCTGTACCCTCTCCTCTCCTCATTTGCTGCTTTCCTTCACTCACGACATGGCTGCCAGCAGCAACCACACTTGTGTACTTTCCTAGTAGAACCACAATGAAAAAAATGCACTGCTTCTCACCTGTATCTAACAAGAGTTCTGAGCTTTGCTCTGATTTGGACCACCTTTTTGCTGTGGCCTGAGGAAATGAAGCTACTGACTGGTACACACTCCCAGCTAGGGTGTACCTTTGGATCTAGGGATGGAATCATTCCAATCCAAACTGGCAAGCTGCTACTAAATAGGAACAGATAAATGTTGGGATTAACCATGATGCAATGAAAATTTCTTATAATTTAAAAATGTCCCCCAGGTCTTTCAGCGTTCTTAGTCATAGCAGTAGGCATCTATTTAAAATATACAAACACTCACTTGTGCAGGTGTGCACATACATGTACACAAGCTATGCGAATTCTTACAAGGCATAAAAACTAGAGCCAAAAGGTGAAACGGTCTTATCAAAACAATGGCAGATATTGGCAAATGCGAGTTAAAACATATACTTCACTGTGCTAGTTACAACAGTATATTTACATGACTGACTCACCAACAGCCAGAGATTTCTGATGCCCACCACCTCTGTAGTTACTCAGAATAGCCTATTTATTCTCTTTCTCCTCAATAAGACTACTGAAATCTCATTCAATTTTACTGGTGTTTCATCATTCACTGCCAGAGTATTTGTCATAGTCTCTGCAGTTGGCATTTGCCTATAATTTGGTCAGGGTAAATGTGTATATGTCCGTTCCCCTCAATATTCCAAGCCTTCTCAAAGGGAAGGACACATTCTAGTCTAGTCTGCCTGTTGAACCCCTTACCAAGGAGCTTAGCAGAGACCACTGTATATTAAGGATTACTGAATAAATATTCATCAAGTAAAATATATCATTAGCTATATGAAATTTATTCTGGATAATTATATGTAACAAACAGACTATTAAACTAGAATTTATGAGCCCATATTCTTCCAAAGTAGTTTTCTATTGCTCTCATCACAGGTCTTGCCACTCTCACCTACTGTTTTCACCTTTAATTCATCTCAATTGCACAATCATTTATTTAGAAGCTGCTATGTGCCAGGATATGCTTGGTGCTAAGGATACAAATATTGCTAATCACTCTGTCTTCTAGGGTTTACAGCCTCAGCATTGAATATGCCTTCTGGGAACATTCTCACCAGCGCCCTTCTGTCTTATTTTAACCCTATGCATTCCTCAGATTCTATAGTGAATCTTACTTCTTCCATAAAGTCTTTCTGAGCCATTTTTCCTTCAGTGCTGCTTCTCTGTGTGGAAATCTTAGCATAGTCATCTCATTCTCTAATCTCAGTAATGGCAATAGACCTGTGAATCTCAGTCTTTACTGAGTGGTGCAGGGTTACCCAAAAGAAGAGCACAAATTGAGTTTAGATTCAAACAGAGGTAAGAAAACGTGTTGTAAAAAATAGGTCCTAGTGGAAGGGAGCTGCTACATGCTGCTAAGGCAAATCTTCCATGTCTAAGAGCCATTAACCTAGAAATACCACCGTCTCAGCCAGCTTTCCTAGGGGCACACGATGCCATCTGGGAGGAAAGGTCAAGGGGCAGCCGACCCACTTTAAAAGGACAGTCAGCTCTACTTCCCTGCATGGCACAGTCAGTCTAATGACTAAAAACACCAACAGCAGACACAAAACCCCCTCATCCTTGCCGGATGAGTTCTGAAACCTCTTTAACAAGGTTGGGTGGGGAAGGGAGAGAGGATGTCTATTTTGCAATTAGAGACAAACTAAGTACATGGTTAATATTTCACTGTGATTGAGTTTCAACTAAAGTATAACTAATCAATAAATAAACAATTATATACTATTAATATTTTCTCAGCTTTATTTCAAGATGGGAATAAAGGAAGACAGAGAGGGAGGGAGGCAGGGGGCTGTTGGGAGACCAAAAACATGTCTGCCCATGAGGAACATGTGACTGTTGCCACAGAGAAGTCAGAAAACAGCTTAGGTCTTGAAAGACACAGACTTCACCTAGGATTGCCTTTCCAAAGTTGAGACACACAGAAGCTGTCACAGAGGAGCTTGGATCAAGAAGCTAAGAAAGCAAAGAGCTCTGGTTGGTAGGATTTAAGACTGTCCTTGTTACTAATTTCTTAACACTAGTAATTTCACATAGAAGAGCTTCATTCACAAGCAATTCATTAAGAAATATAAGAAATACTAATATTTGCACATTCACCTCTTTCATTTCAAGGGAAGAGTCTTTTACTTCTAATTTACTATAAATATGTCCCGTCAATAGTGTTTCTTTCTTTTTAAATATACATTCTTTGGGCAAAATTTTGAATTCAATATAAAAGAGTAAAAGGCATGTTTTCCTACAAAATGTTCCCTAGAAATTATATACTTAACACTATATGAAGTAGGTTATTGATTTGACCCAGGGTGGCATTTCTCAGTTTGTTCATTAAATGAATTTTAATATAGAATTTACACTAGAGAAGATGGCCTTGCCAACACAGAATTTTAAGTCACTTAACATTATAGTTGTCATTCAGAAGAGGATTGTCATTCTCATGATACAATCAAAAGTCATTTTCTTATTGCAATTTTACAGCAAAATGGATGGACTTAGAGATTATCTTACTAAGTGAAGTCAGAGAAAGACAAATATTACATGCTATCATTTATGTGTGGAATCTAAAAAATAATAAATGAATCTATGTACAAAAAAGAAACAGATTCACAAACATAGAAAACAAACATGCTTACCAAAGCAGAAATGAGTGGAGAGATAAATTTGGAATATGGGATTAACAAACTACTACACATAAAATAGATAAGCAACAGGATTTACTCTATAACACAGGGAACTATAGTCAATATTTTATAATAACATATAATGGAAAATAATCTGAAAAAATATATATATATAGCTGAGTCACTTTACTATACACCTGAAACTACCACAATATTGTAAATTAACTAAACTTCAATTTTAAAAGTGCATTTTCTAAGAAAGTTTATAAAACATGTTTTGTGTTCAATATAGGGCAAAATCATGGTAGATTACAGATAACATAATTACATGGGTATATTTTCCACTGTAATCAATTTTTAGTACTCATTTTTAAATTTTCACTGAAGAGGAGCTTATATCTTGAAGTGAAAATTCAGTTATCAAAAATTCATGTTTAAAAACTATTTCTTACCAATAGTAAAGCAATAAATAAGAAAGATACTTTGAAAGTGAAATCGTTCAGTCATATCCGACTCTTTGCAATTCCATGGACTGTAGCCCACCAGGCTTCTCAGTCCATGGGATTTTCCAGGCAAGAGTACTGGAGTGGGTTGCCATTTTAACCATATACAAATCTTTAAAACTGTTACTTCAGGGAAATTACTTTGCAGAAAAAAACAAGAAAACCTCTCCTTTCAACAAAGAGTCAATTTAAACATTTACTGGTAGACTATATTCCAAGCACAAAGTGTCTATAAAAATGGTAAATCAGAAGTATAGTGACCCCTAAAAAAATAAAAATTTGATGACAAATATCTACATAATTGAAAAAGTTTTAGCTTATCACCTGTATATGTCTTCTAATTGCAGATCAAAATCTTGAAGTTTCTTTTGATATTTCTCTGTAAAGTTACAGAACTCATTAAGGATTGAAGATTTCAAGTCAGGGTATGGACATTCCAAAGTTTCTAATTCCATGGGCAGTTCACTAAGCAGGTTACTTCTTTCTTCTGAAGAATGATCTAATATCTGAAAAAAAAAATTATATGATTGTTCTATTTAACATAAATGACAAATTGATAGATTACTACCTGTATTGCACTTACTTTCATGCTCCAGTCTGAAAGATAATTTTCTATTTTCTGTTGCTCTAGCCTAAGTTGTTCATAGACAGCTTTCAATTGTTTCTTCACGAAGTCAACCTATAGGACATTTAGAGCAAGTGGTATGCAAATTATTGATTTATTCAATATTTAAATTTAAAGTCACAGAAATTTTTCTCAAAAGTCAATAAGTGATGACAAATTAAATAAGTGAAAGTCCCTTTCAGGATTCATGGAAGAGAGTTCAAGAGATATCACATCTAGGCAGTGTCCATCAGGCAAAGGAGCTTTAAAGGGGCTTCTAGACATATAACCCCAAAATGAGTTCAATTATAGCCACTCTGCACTCACAGTGAGTTTTGTTTGTGATAAGGCAGAAAGCTTACCAGACTGCCTCTGTTTCAATCACCCCCTCCTTTCCTCACATCCTTGCTACTAATTCCCAGATGGGCATTGATTTTTAATGTTCATTTTTAATTATTTATGAAAGCAATATGACAACACTACAAAAACAACTAAAAAATAGAGTAAGGAAAAAAATCACCTAAATGCCTACATGCAGTACAACCATGATAAGGGAGGTTATGCTCTAGTCGGGGAGGTAGTCAATAAACTCATAAAAAAGTAGGTAAGAAAGCATCAGGAGGAGGTAAGTGAGGTATAAACTGGGTGAGGGGATAGGGAGTGACTGGACTTCTCTCGTATGAGTGGTCAGTATAGGCATCTCAGAGGAAAGGACATTAAAGCTAAGACTAAAAGACAAAAAGAGCCATCAGTGGGACAGAAGAAACAGCCCATGCAAAGGCCTTGAGACAGGAAGGAGTCTAGCTTATGTGAGGAATAGGAAGAAGGCCAGCACTGTTAGGAGAAAGTCTAGTAGCGAAAGCAAGGTATCAGATAGATAGTGAGACTAAAGAGGTAGAAGGTGGGGTCAGATGTATGGGGAGTTTTGGTACCAGGTGCCCAATGCACAGTGAGGCCATGAGATATCAAAATGTCAGAGTTTGGAGCAGAGAAAGGCTTACTACAGGGCCCTGCAGAGAGACAGGTAGTTCATGCCTTTAAAAACCCCCAATTCCCCAAAAGCTTTTAGCAAATCCCTTTTTATAGGAAAGGTGAGGGAGGGGCATAGTTAGTTGTTGCAAAATTCTGGTGTCAGATCCTTTGTTGTCCAAGTCAAGTCATGGTCAGGTCACAAAGACCATGTAACCCTCCACTGAAACAAATGATATTCTGTTCTAACAAGAAAGAGCAAAGTCCCAAGGTTCAACTTCTCCCCTCCCGCCAAGATCCAGACCCTGGCTTGGTGGAGGGGGTCCCTGTGCTGGTTACCTTGCCTGGGAGCGTTAGTCCAGCAAGCAGTCTGGGTCCTCCCACCAGTGCCCTGGCCTGGCTGAGGAGGCAGATCTCAGCTGGTGGCACCCTCAGCATCTAGTCCCCACACCTCGCCCAGCCATCATCACTGAGGGAGCAAGAAGCCCAGGAAGCAGCTGTCACATGGCCCAAAGTTGCGGGGACCTGGTCCTACAGACTGCGGCCCATGGAGACTGCCACACCATTAGGTCTAAAAGGTGGGGATTGGGGAGAGGTTTGCTGCTGCTTCAGGGCCTGGGCCTGGCCAGTGGGTGGCCGTGGTAGAGGTTCTGGAGCCTTGAAGGACATAGCCCTCAGCCTTTCCCCAGGTCCACCAGCTCACCTGCTGGCTAGAAGTCAGAGGGCCTGGAGTACCCCAGGGAGACGGTGGAGATCCACTTCTCACCAAACTTTGTGCTGTGAGGACCACCTCGTGGCTGACTGTTGGTGAAGTGGGACTTGCAACCACAGTGCTAACGGTCACTACATAATGGTCACATGCTAATGGTCTCTAAGGACCTCACTTTAACAGTCTCTCTTTAAAGGTCTCACACTAAGGGTCTCACGCTAAAGGTCAGGAGCTCAGACTACACACTTGCCCCACCCCTATTACAGGAGGAACCCTGGCCAGTGGGAACCCTGAGGGGATTTACCAGGAGGATGATTTAATCCCTGTCTCTAGGATAGGATCTCAGAAAACACGAGGAGGAGCAGAAAGGAGGAAAGCAAGGTTATGAGGTTATTGTAGCATTTCTAGGTGAGAAATGAGCATGTTTGGACAGATTCAGGGCTAGAATTTGCTATACCTTCTATTTAAGCACACAAAACATACACGTTCATCTCAGACTCTTCCAAATATAACATAAACCACAGTGCTAACGGTCACTACATAATGGTCACATGCTAATGGTCTCTAAGGACCTCACTTTAACAGTCTCTCTTTAAAGGTCTCACACTAAGGGTCTCACGCTAAAGGTCAGGAGCTCAGACTACACACTTGCCCCACCCCTATTACAGGAGGAACCCTGGCCAGTGGGAACCCTGAGGGGATTTACCAGGAGGATGATTTAATCCCTGTCTCTAGGATAGGATCTCAGAAAACACCAGGAGGAGGAGAAAGGAGGAAAGCAAGGTTATGAGGTTATTGTAGCATTTCTAGGTGAGAAATGAGCATGTTTGGACAGATTCAGGGCTAGAATTTGCTATACCTTCTATTTAAGCACACAAAACATACACGTTCATCTCAGACTCTTCCAAATATAACATCAGTAAAAGTAAAGGAGATATACTGACCTCTTCCAATACTTTCACAGAGTTAGATTCACTGTATGAGTGTGAATACTGTGAAACGTGATGCTGTCTGTATTTTAGATCTTCTCTCAATTGCTGAATAGGATTTATTACATTTTTAAGATATGTGCACCATTGTTCTGATAACTCCTGTTCTATGGTGAAACAAAATCAAAGCAACACATTATTAAGTTTCTTCACGAACAGGTCATTAAGATGCAGATTTTTTGGATTCCTTAAGAAAAAACAAACAGCATTTAATATTAAAAGAAAATGAAATGTGTGGCCCACTTTCATCTTTAAAACAAAACTCCCCTTTAAATGTGAAAAAACAAAACCTACCAAAATTCATAAGGTCAGAAAGACATTCATTTCCAATGTTCTTTTCATTGAATAAGGATTTTATCTCAGATTCCATTTTGTATCTGAAATAGACATTATCTTAATCAATTATATTATAATCATAAACATATATACAAGTTAAATAACTAGCAGTAGAAATAGTCAATCTAATGTGGTTTCATTCACCTGTTCATTAATTCAGACAGCATACCACATTCCTAACATTGATTAGATAATCTCCAGGACACTGAGATAGACAGAAGTATGGCTGCATACCTCAGAAGTAACAAAATTAGCAAGGCAAGGACAGGATACATCCCTGCACTATTTCAGGTGGAGAGAGCAGTGGGAAGTGGGGAGCCACTGAGGGATATTAAGCTGACCACACCAATTCAGATCTGTGTTTCAGAAAGATTTCCAAGGCAACAAGATGGAGGATGGGCTGAAAGGAGGGTGGTTAATAAAAATGGAAGATGAAGAGGAGATTAGGCAAACCTGGACCAATAAGCAGGTCATTTAAAAAGTTCAGAGATGAGAAAGTCCTGACCTAGGGAGATGGAAGTAAAAGTATATATTTTATATACCAAAAATATAATAAATCTTAATAAACTTTTGTTATATTATGTAAATACAGTCATTTTAGAGTGAAACTATAACCAGCACTAAATGGACATAAAAATACTGTACTCAATCTCTTATTTATGTCAGGTTTAATAAAAATCATAAAAAGAGTTTTGATTTATTATGATTGTTAAGATGCAATAATTTAAATGGCATAAAATAAGAAAATAACAACTGTAACACTTAAATATGATTATTTTTATTTTTGTATGTAAGTTTCTAGCCTTCGTCAACATGCATGAATGTTTTAAACAGTTGTAATTATAGCCTATCTACCATTTTACATTAAGACTTTTTGAAAACTAATTTTAATAATAATAAATATTTATTTATTCTAGTAATTTTTGTAATTATTGTTTACCTTAGTGGCTGTATGATATTCTATTTTATATATGTGCCATTATCTTTTAAGCCAATTTACAAATATGAGACAAGGGTTTTGTTTACATGTATAAAGGAGGGGGTGCTACTGTAGATGACACTATTTCTTTAGCATCTGGTCTTAGTCAAAAGTTTTTTTAAGATTACATATGAAATTGATGGGACTGGATGCCATGATCATAAACATGGCATTTAGTCCCATCATTTCATGGCAAATAGATGGGGAAAAAATGGAAACAGTGACAGACTTAATTTTGGGGACGCCAAAATCACTGCAGATGGTGACTGCAGCCATGAAATTAAAAGATGCTTGCTCCTTGGAAGGAAAGTTATAATCAACCTAGACAGCATATTAAAAAGCAGAGACATTACTTTGCCAACAAAGGTCCATCTAGTCAAGGCTATGGTTTTTCCAGTGGTCATGTATGGATGTG